ACATTTTAGGATTACGTATGCTCCAACAAGGTCCATTTAAATATATGGATATCTACTTGCTGAAACGAATCCCGGCGTAGCTAAACCTCAACGTTATAGGCACGTTACCATAATCGAATAAAATAATTCGAAGTGGTCTGTATTCAGCCGAAATGCCAGACGCGGATTGCGATTTCGATCTTTTTAAATCTCCTCAGGGCGCGCAGGCAGCTCCGACAGAACACAGACCAACATTTACCTGCTGTCTCAACAGCGCGTTTTAGAAAATACCACAAATGGCGCGGTAAACGCCACTCGAAAAATAATAAAATTCTGAAAATGGTTATGAAAATACATACAGGGTATTCCATTTGAAAATATGAACTTACGATTATTTGAAGTTAAACACCCTAAATGTATTTAACCCATATTGAAAGTATGGATAAGAAGCTTGAGGGTATAGCTATCTCTCCTGAGAATATTGCTGCTCCAGCTTTCTTTTAAGTACCAGCTACTCATAAAAAAAATGAATATGTCGAAACCGATAGATTTTGAAAGTAGGAAAGCCTTATAAAAGTCGACCTAGAACTATAAGTAGAGATCAAAACCGTCATAATATACAGTATGTTCCATTTAAAATAACGAAGTTGACGTCAACTTCCGGTGTTACCGGAAGTGCTACATATAAATGCCGTTATTTCGATTGAGATATCCAATAACGTCATTTAACAAATTTTCAAATTTTAACTCGAAGTAGTTTTTGAAATATTCTAATAATGGGTGGTCACCGTGAGACACCCTGTACACAATTACGCTAAAATTGTAATAGGAAAGAGATTATATTTTCAACATCTAACTCTGTCATGAAAAATAAAAGCCAAGCGCGCCGCGCTTGTTATCAGTCCGTTATAATACGAAACCAGAGAGGTTTCATTAAAAGACAAATAATACAAATACGTGCTACGAATACGTAACACAAAACATTTATCCGACAAGCATTTTAAATAGGACTGCTACAATTTCCCTTGCTGGACATTGTCCTTTGTTTGCTGTAGAATTAGTGCTTTCGATGGAAGCAAAAAATATTCAAAATTGTAACACATTCAAGTCCCGACGGGGGCGTGACAGCAGCAACATGTTTTCCTCATTAATTTACATTAATGTTTAAAAATAATTTATATATATATGAACCTCTATTAAATGTAAAAAGTTTGTAACGGTAAATCAAATTAACCCTTATAAATTTGACATCTCAATTTAGGTAACGTTTAAAAGAAATATTTATGGTATCACAGGCATCCAGATGCTAATGTGTTTGTAGATCAATCCCAAAAACACAAAACGTATGAGTTGTGTTTTTTGAAGTGAAACTTCTTTACGCACGGTAGGGTAAGTTCGTTTCATGCTATGTAACGAAATCATGCAACGGATGTCTCGTAATGGGGATGGCTTGAGCCGCGAGCGCGTTTCAATGCAACGTTCGTTACAGGCAACTCCGGCATGTATAGTGTAAAATTTAAATTCATAGTGTACTAATAATACCATTAAACCAATTCCTTAACCCCCATCCCGGTATGTTTGTGTGTTTGAAAAAGTTTCACTTCAGTAGCGTGTTGTATAATTACACGTTGTATTTTTTTTTAATGGAACAGCCTATAAATTTTTATATTTTTGGATTCTTTGATCAAAATAACAGGAAGTTTCATTAGGGTTTACCTTACATAAACCTTAAGGACTTTGAAACATTTTGAATTTTATGAAAATGTAGTAACAATTTTAACTTTTACATTCTTAATATGTATTGTCACTTTTAAAACCTGATTTAAATTGAAGCCTGCTCATTAATTAAGTAAAAAATCGATTAACATATACAGGGTGTCCAAATATTATGATTAAATAAATACATGCTTCATCGTCAATAACTTGTTTAGTTTAAACAGAACACCCTATATTTTATGTCGACAGCAGTAGTATAATTTAATCTTCTATCCAATACTATAACAGTATTAGCATCTAGCAAGGAGGAGTTAAAGATAGCTTTAAATAAAATGGAAACGGCATTGACAAAACTGTACTGCATGAAAATAAATAAAAGTAAAACAAAAATACTGATATGCAAGGGAAGAAAAAGTAGGGGAAGAGCGAATATAAAGATAGGAGACGAAAAATTAGAAGTAGTGAAGAATTTTAGATATCTAGGAAGTCGGATAAGTCAGGACGGAGGGAGTAGTAGGGATATAAAGCAGAGAATAGCGCAGGGTCGCGTCGCCTTTAATAAAAAGAAGTCACTTCTATGCTCGCGAACGGTTAATTTAGAAATTCGAAAAAAATTATTAAAGGTGTATGTTTGGAGCGCGGCGCTGTACGGATGCGAAAAGAAAAGGTTAGAAGCCTTCGAAACGTGGTGTTCTGGGCGAATGATGAGGATAACTAGGGTAGAAAAGGTTAGAGATTAAGAGGTATTAGAAAGAATAGGAGAACAGAGGACTCTATGGAAGTCAATACAAAATAGGCGAGATAGGTTGGTAGGTCACCTTCTCAGGCATGAAGGTTTAGTCAGAGACATATTAGAGGTAGAAACAGGAATTAAGAGGGGTAGAGGTAGACCTAGGTTAGATTACTGTTCGCAAATAATTAAGGATGTAGGTTGTTCTAGTTTTAGGAAAAGGCGAAGTTTAGCTCAGGATGGGAAAGAACGGAAGTACGTGTCCAACCAGTCTTAGGAATGACGACCTTATGATGATGATGATCGAATACTATTGCCTACCTAGAGCTAACCGTTGGCGTTTTCATGAAAAAGGCACATTTTCAGAACGTAAAAGAATTTTGACAAATTTAATATTTATGAAACCATCTGTGACATCTTGACAGGTCAGAATTGCACAACAAAACAGCTGGTATAAACCAGAAACATTTGATTAACAACACTTAAGATTTATAGGGTGGTTTAGAGGAAGGAAAATAAAGGAGTGGTGGAACTACAATAAAAAATTCAAAATGACGACGGCCTGAAACTAAACATAAACGTTTTCTGTTTTCTAAGGCTTCAGCAACATTGGTCGACGTGGATCTTGGAGATATAAACAATTCCTTTTACATATCACCACAAAAAGTTTCAGACTTAATCCCACCGAATTCTTTTTTTTGTGGAAACCATACCATCCAAAATTTTTTTTATAAAAGTTTTAACGATGTCAAGTTCCACAAATGGTGTAATCGAATTACGTTCTTTAATATTGAATTGTAGCTTGGCAAGTTTTATATATTTACTACCTTAAATGTGATTAATTGAGTATTAAAACTTGCCAATCTATAAATTCAGTAACAAAGAGCATAATTTGCAACCATTCAGATCTCAGTTATTCTCTTATCAGCAAATCCGACAACTCCGAAAGTTGTTTTTTTACCAAACTTGCCTCCCACTTTCACATTTATTTTTTTTTTTTATTAGATTATTATACTTTCCTTGGTTCTTCCGAAAGAGCTTTATCTTCAGTCATTTTTAAGTTTTAATTAACAAAGATAATAAATAATCTCTGAAATGACACTGTCATCTTATTTATAACAATTATAAGACGTCAAAAACTAGATACACCTGAAAATATGTTTTAAAAACATATAAACATGGATGGACCTCTGCGCTATCCCTTGAGGAGAGCTCGTATATCAAAATGCATAATTGTGTTTACACTGACTTACAGTACTGTACTGTGATGTATTATGTATAGGTGAACCATGAAACTGCATCAAATCGAATTCAAATATAGACGCTTAAGTACCTTGCTAAATCATTCAAAAGATTGCTGCAAGCAGTGTGTATGGAATAAAGCGAAATCGGTTATTAATACATTTTTAAAATGTTTCTATGGTTCAATAAGTTAGTTTGATGGGTGCCCTTTTGATACCCGGCCGAAATTACTCTGTTTTTAGTGTTAAAAATTTAAAATAACCCAAAAACAGAAAAATTGAGATTTTTACAATAATACTTTTTTGTTTTGAATTTCCTACTATTATTTTGCTGCTGAAAATGAATAGGAAACGTATAAGAGAGAAAATACGCTAAAAAATAATAAATAAAGATATCTTGATTACTATTAATCGCAAAAAAAAAGAAATTTCTTGGCTTTTTCAGTACCTTTCTTTTCTCTAAATATTTTGTTTTTCGATTACTTTTGGTACTAAAATAATGAATAAAAAAAATCGGTTGTCTGTAAAGTCGGTTTACTGACGATAGTTGAACGTGACAACGTCATAAGAAAATACTGATGGAATGGTTTCATTTTTCAAAAGAAAATTTTAATTTTATTTGTTTGATAGATATTTTGTATGGATATAGAGGAGGTAAATGTAAATGTATTATTGTATAGCAGCTGTCCACGCGGACGCATCGCTCACTCAAGTAGGAGGGAGACAGATGTCGAACGCTGCCGAACGCGGAGGCCGATTGTGCCTCTTTGTCGCTCGTTCCGCACTCTCGCTTGCACTTCAAGCCTTAAATGGAACGCCTCAGAGCGAAGTAACGCCGCATGAGTCATGTTTTTTCGTGCGTGCAGCCGGCTCCATCGAATTATAAGACGTTGTCACGTCAAAAATAAAAGTATTGTTTACTTGTATAATTTTTTACAAAAATGTATTCTTACAAAATCCCGAATTTGTTTTTCGAGTTATTTTGAAAAAACTAACAAAGTGGTAAGAGTACACACCCCTCATTTTCGTAGGACATTGTAATTTCATCGTTCTTAGGTTCAATCTAAAATGTTAAACCGTAAAAAAAACCCAACGCAATTGTTATTTATTCAAAGGCATAGTCAAAAGTCTTTTAATGGTAAGAGAAATATTTCTATTAGAAACTCTTCAATTGTGCTTATATTTATTATACTTTTCTACCTTTTCGAGGGCATACATCATAGATAATCTAACGTTTTATTTTCCCCATGGTGTTTATCATGTTTCATTTTTAACACGTTGATCGAGCTTTTTTTCTGGATGAAAGCAATAAATGTTCTTTTATGATGGCAAAGGTTGGGCAATTTCATCGGAGGAGCGCGACTGGAAATACAGATTGTCAATTTACTACGCCAAATCCCAAGACTCCGGGACCTTTACTTGCGCCACCCCTCGGGGAATTACAAACAGCATAACGCTTCATGTAGCAGGTAAGAGAGTTAAAGGCAATAAGCGAATGTAAAGGAGACAGTTTTAGTAGCTTAGCTTTTACCAACACCGCATACCGATGTAAAGGCATGTTTATGTTAGAGCTATAGCATGTAAGTAAACTTTTCTAAAAAATGCTTTCAAGTAAATGAACAAATATTAAGAAGTTTTGGGAAGGTATCATGAAAAGCATAATATGTTTCCGATAATTTGATTATTTCAAAACATTTGAAAACTTGAAATATTTTAAATATTAGAAAAGCACCTTACTAATTTTAAGGGAGGTAATACTTGTCCAACTGAATCAAGGCAGCAGTCGAATTCTCAATCCATGACCCGTACTTGCCGTAAATTACCGATCAAAAACTAAATCCCTTTTTACTATTAATTTAGCTTACATGCCTACATACCGTACATCAAGGGTATAAAAATTAATTTAAATATTTTAGAGGGAGGTAGAAAAAAGATCAACTGCGTGTGTCCAAAGATATGTTGAATAAAGTGAGAAAAAATACCACCCTCCCTCCTATCTTATTTTCGAAATTAATAAAACTGAAATTCAAGGTGTGTTCAAAAAGTAACATGAATTTTGTGTTTTTTCAAAAATTATTTATTTATCGATGAATTTCTATTTTATACCCTTCAAAGTAATCCCCATCCGATATTATACACTTATGCCAACGTTTTTTCCAATCCCCGAAGCACTTCAAAAAATCATTTTTTGTGATCTTGTTCAGCTCGTGGTTCGATGCCGTCTTTATCTTCTCAAACGTAGCGTAGCGTCGTCCTTTCATGGACCTCTTCAGTTTCGGGAACAAGAAAAGTCACAGGGGGCCAGATCTGGGGAATACGGTGGCTGCGGCATTATCAGTGTGTTGTTTTTGGCCAAAAATTCGCGCACAAGCAACGAAATGTGAGCAGGGGTCATTATCATGCTAAAAGCAAATTTTTGTTCTTCCACAAATCCGGGCGTTTCTGGCGGATTGCTTCGCGCAAATTGCGCATAACTTGTAGGTAATAGTCCTTATTCTCTCAAAAACTCATGATGCACCACGCCTCTGCAATCGAAGAAAACCGTAAACAAAACCTTTACATTCGACCCAACTTGGGGCGCTTTTTTCTATTTTGGCTCATGCGGCAGTTTCAATTGGAATGATTGAGCTTTGGTTTCCACATCATAACCATAAATCTATGATTCGTCACCAGTTGTGACCCTCTGGAGCCAATTTGGGTCGTCGCGGACAGAGTCTAACAGCTCTTTAGCAATGTTAATGTAAGCTGTTTTTTGACGAAATTGAGCATTTTTAGTACAAATTCGCAGCTACCCGTATCATACCCAAATCATTGGTAAAAATCGAATGGGAAGAGCCAATCGATATGTTTAGGTCCTCAGCAACTTCTCTAACGGTGATTCGACGATAGGCCAGTACTATTTTCTTCACTTCATCAGTGTTTTTGTCTGTTGTTGACGTGCTCGGGCGTCCAATACGCTCTTCGTCGTCCACATCTTCTCGGCCCTCTGAGAACATTTTGCACCACCGATAAACGTTGCTTCAGTCTTTAGTTCTTTCTCAAAGAAGTTCATAGTGGTCAGTATTCGATTCGTATAGATCATGTTGGATCGCTTTTTTTTTTGTTTTCGTGGAAGAGGGAAAATCTTCAAAAGACATCCAGGTATCTTTCGGACCTATCGACCAAAACCCCTCTATCTCAGGCCATTCTAGGATCGCTTAAGGTCCTCTTAAGCTGATTGGTATGCTTTTTTTTATTTTTGTGGAAGAGGGGAAACCTTTAAAAGACACCCAACCGTCCGTACGACTAGGTAGTGTCGAATTCCCGAGGAAGAAGTCCTCGGACCTACCAAGTAAAATCTACTTGCTGATTCCACAGCGTAGGTAACTCAACACAACCAAATCGAACAAACAAGTTCATGGTGTCAGTGTTCTGTCGAAACTGCCAGACGCGGATCATGATTTCGATCTTGTTGGATCTCATCAGCTCGTCGCAGACAATTTCGACAGAACACAGACTAACTCCACCTAAGCCGTTGATTCAGTTCAGCAAGTAGATATCCATCAACGTAAATGGACTTTGTTGAATATTGCACCACGCCGTTTGTGATACTTCAATTTTTCAGTAGATTAACAGCTTACTTTATTTTTAAAGACTGTAGTACGGATTTTGATACATTTTTCTTATTTACGACAAAATTTCGTTGACGCATCAACACCGTCACATATTTACTGCTATGATTGTATTAGTCCTGCCACCTAGCTTCAATAACTATGTAGTACAATTTTATATTATCAGCCAACACACATACAGTCTGCGTTAATTACCTACGTAATACCTACACAGTAGTGCTGGTAGATGGCAGCATGATGAAGAAATTCAAATGTTATACAAATAAAATGTAATTCAACAAACGAGTACTTATTTGAATTTAAATTATTTCTAAATAAATAAAAAAATCTGTATCATGATACCAAATATATATAAATTAACTACGTGGTTTTTGTGTAAATAAAGATAAGTGCACACGCTTGAATCGTTATTGTAATCAGAGAAATAAAATGCTTACTGAGTTTTTTTTATTAATACTTTTTATTTATTTATATTATTTTATTTATGATAAAAAGCTACGATAAAATTATTTTGCTTTATGTATTGTCTCATGTCCACGTTCCTAGTTTAATGTATAATTTAGCATAATTCACATAGTTAACGATTTCTGTACGCAATATTTAGGAATTGATTGTATCAAACCAATTTTGGTTTCTCGCCCCATAGGAACATATTTTCGGGACGAAACGAAATGTCGCTGAAAAATAAAGCGAATCCATTCCAATGACTTTTTAATTCGAAGAAAAAAAATCTAAAATAAATGTTCCTATTGGTCGAATAACCAAAACTGATTTAATATACATGGGAAACGATTGGATAAATAAATTTGAGATATTCGAAATTTCTGGTTTTATAGCTGTCCACTGCGATCCAATATCAATATCAAATATGCATCTGAGTGTGAGGGTTGAGGGCACCAGGCTGGGTCACAAGGCCGTCTTCCAATGTCCCGTGGGATTTCGTATCAAGGGCATCGCCAATCTCACCTGTCAAGCTTCCGGTAAATATTATAGTTGCGTTTCCGATACTGATACGTTCGTACACGCCACAAGATAGGTATTATGTCTCTTTCCCGAATTTCATACCGTGCACCGAACCTATCAATATTGGCTTAAGTTACGTGATCGGTTTCCAAATTGACAGACACGATAAAAAAGAGAAAAAAATATTCAACTCTCTCGGAAATGCGAGCTTGCAAAAAAATTGAGGCGAAGAAGATATTTATGTATCTATATAAATAAATTCAATAGAACAAGAATTCCACTTTCAATAAAAATACTCCGGGAATCATAATATAAAAAACTATATATAAAAACACAAATCAAAATTTTCTCAGATGGTATTACTAAATGTTATTGATATAAGATCCGTTCTCTTCATTTGTTTTTCTCCAATAAATAAGTACTTATCACACCACATATTATACGAGGGTGGATTGATAAGTTTCCGGCCTGACCAAGAAAAACAAGGTTTTTAAAATTTTTTTTTTTTTATTTCTCAACATAATCTCCTCCAAGGCTGATACATTTCTCATAGCGGTGTTCCAGTCTATTAATGCCATCTCTATAGACTGATTCGTCAAGCTCCTCAAAATAACCATTTACAGCTTCGATTACTTCTTCATTGTCCGCAAATCTCTTACCGCCAAGCCATTTTTTGAGATTAGGGAACAGAAAATAGTCACTCGGGGCTAGGTCTGGAGAGTAAGGAGGGTGCGGCATCAATTCAAACTTTAGATCGTTGATTTTAGCCGTCGCAACGATTGACGTGTGCGCTGGTGCGTTATCGTGATGAAACAAGATTTTTTTCTTCGCCAGATGAGGTCGTTTAATTTTCACCTCGTGGCTCAAACGTTGCAATAAGTCTGCGTAGTATTGACCAGTGATAGTATTACCCTTTGCAAGGTAATCAATGTATATAATACCTCTTGCATCCCAAAAAACAGTAGCCATAACCTTGTTCGCCGAAAAAATTGTTTTTGCCTTCTTTGGAGTTGGTTCCCCTGGTCCAATCCACTGTTTAGACTGTTCTTTGGTTTCAGGAGTGTAGTGGTGGACCCACGTTTCGTCAACGGTTACGAATCGACGCAAAAATTCGCTTGGATTACGCTTATACAATGACAAATTTGCGGTAGAAATGTTTTTTCGAATCAATTTTTGGTCGACTGTTAGCAAACGCGGCACCCATCTTGCACAGAGCTTTTCCATATGCAAATGTTGGTGCAAAATATGTTGCACACGTTCATATGACATCTTACAGGTCTCAGCTATCTCACGCACTTTCAATCTGCGGTCTCCCAGCACTATTTGATGAATTTTTTCGATCATATCTGGAGTTGTGACCTCAACGGGGCGTCCTGAGCGAGGCCCATCAGAGGTGCTCACACGACCCTTTTTAAACTCGGAAACCCACTGCTTAACGGTTGAATATGACGGGGAGGATGTCCCCAGTGTTGAGTCCATCTCTTTTTTAATTTCCTTCGGCGTTAACCCCTTCAAATAAAAGTATTTGATGACAGCACGATTTTCCTGCTTTTCCATTTTTACGAAAACCACAGAGGCGTCTTGTTCAGCGTGCTGTCAAACCTACACTAGCAAGGAGATCGGGCTGAAACTATAGCTACAAGCTATCCAAGGATGGTACTATAGAATGTCACCTCAAGGTAGGCCTAGTGGCGTCATCTCTTGGTTAGGCCGGAAACTTATCAATCCACCCTCGTAGGTTTGTTGATGCTTAAGTCAAAAGCTCATAGTGTTAGACCTGAAACATTTTATGGAATGTTTGAACTGTTAACGATTAAACCAATGCGTTCTATAAAAAGTTCTAAGGCTGTTCATTTTTGACTGACGCATAAAATTTTTAATATTACTCTCTAGATTTCTTAACAGAACATTAAACAATTATGCATGATATGAAGGCTACGAAACAGTACTAGGTAACCCTTACTACCGAGCGATGGAATTTATTAAATCACAAGAGAAGAATGCATTACATCATGTAGTTTTGATGTTTTCATGTCCGTGAAAACAGTTCGAAGAATAAAAACGTAATAAGACCTTGATCTTCCAAAGCGGATTTCAAATACTAATTCTTTTTATTCTTTGATACTTTTATGTAGTCAATTTTGTATTACCGCTTCTCACTATTTTGTCAGAAATTTATGAAGACCAAAAGCCCTTCGAAAATATCACTAGGTATATCTTTACGATATATTTTACATATCTGTTTTTCCGCTGTAATGGGTTTGTAATTTGTAATGCTATTTTTATCTCATTATTCATAATTCATCATATTTTTAAAAAAAAGAGATGTAAAATTAAATTAAAGCTTTCCAGTTTGCATGTTACTTCTTTTTTATTTGTACTAATTATAAAATGTAGATACCTAAGTAATATACAATTTATCGATTCACATTTACTGAATTCCTTTTAAAAAAATGTGATATTTTGCTAAGTTTAAACTGAAGTACTTTATATTCACCATTAACTAAGAAAATATCATTCAATGTTTGTATAACATATTAAAAATTTATATTTTTCCTATAGGTAAATGGTCGTCAATTATACCTAGCTGTGAACCGGTTCGATGTCCCGCATTGGATTCTCCCGCAGGATTAGAGGAACCGCATTTAAAATTGGAAGAACACAATTCAAGTTATGGAGGTAGAGCAGTATTTAGCTGTACTTGGGGATATAAGTTGGTTGGTCCTCCTGGTATCGAATGCGAAATTAATGGTAACTGGTCAGGGCCCTTACCAAAATGTATTCGTAAGTGTCATATTGACTTACTTTTTTGCCTTTTTTATTTATACCCTTAATGTTCATACTTATTAGAATTGATAATTATATTTTGTACATATTAAACAGCATCAACATTTTTCAAAAATTTACACAGTAACATTCTTTAGACAATTTTATATGGTAGGTATTAATAAATGCGTTAAAAGTATTGTTTAATTTTTCAAAAATTTTTAGTTCACCGCGTGTCGATGATCCATACGATTAATTTAAGCTTAATTCCGTAAAAGTACTCCAAATAATTTTAATTGAAAATACTCATCATCTACTTCCAAGATTAACCCTATATTTTATGATTGTTTTTCTAATAGCAGGAGGAGACATATTGCTGATGACTTTAAAGATAAATATTTCGAGTAGCAAGTTTCAAAATGAATTATCCAATTTTTTGTTACAAAAGATAGTACTTAAAGAAGATAAAATTTGTTACATTGTAAAATGAGGTCTCTGTCAAATCATTAGACAACTACGTGCAAAATTTCGTTCACATAATGGGTTAAAAACTGCAGAAACGACGAGGGGTGTAATAGAACAAACAAAGGGACATCATAAAACTGTAAAGGTTCCATTTATACCTTTTGTCTCAGGAATCCCAAAATAAAAAAGGACAGATTCCGACATCATCGTATATAAGAAGATTAATAGTTTTTCATAATATTAATATTTGTCCTCAATTGATTGTCAATTTTTAGCAATCCAATGTCCACCACCTGTAACCCCATTGTATGGTCATCTAATTCAATCAGAAGCTGCAGGAATGGATGGTGAAAGGTATGCTGTTGGAAGTCTTGTTCAATTTGCTTGCAAGGGGGCTCATGTGCTTGAAGGGGAAGCTAGCATCATATGTACAGAAACTGGATTTTGGTCCCATCCACCCCCATTTTGTAAGTATTGAATGAATTTTTAAAATGAATACTTCCACTGCAGAGAATCAAGAAGCCAAGGACGCGTTAAACGATAATGCAATCATTTTGTAATCACAAAATACAAGAATATTATTGTAAAGTTTTCTAAAACAGTTATACTTGTCGAGTTGGTAATCCTAAATGCTTTACTTGTTTTTTTTTTAATATCAAAAGTTTCTTATATTCTTAAAACATTCTAAATATTTAACGTTTAAGGCAAACCGCGTTGCTCATATCTTGGTGAACCAAAAAATGGACATACAGCTCCATCGAAATTTTCTTACGAACCAGGAGACGAATTACAAGTTATATGCGACCCAGGTTACGAAACGCCAGTAGAACCAAGACCCAAATGTATGGAAAATGGAAACTGGTCGATGCCTTTACCTCATTGCACTAATTATTCTCAAATCTAGTTGTTTAAAATCGTTATGCATGTACATGATGTTTGTGATAAAACAATAAATAGGTGTAAGTAACAAACCACATGTATCTCTTTTAATAAAACTTAACAATAACAAACATTTCTTTTTATAACCTGTTTTTATTATGACGTTAAAAAATATTTCATATAACATTAAGACAATAAGTCATCGACTAAATTGCTTGTCAACCTAGGTATTAGCTTTTTTTTAACTCCCAATTTACCCCTACAATGTTTTAATTTTATGTAATGTCGCCATCTTACATTTCAAATACAAACGTAGCAACATTTCATCCTTAAGGGTTGATTTTTAAAAATTGCCGGAACAGGTGTTTGCTTAATTTCAACAATAAGCATTAAGAGTAACCTTCGAGTAAATCCGACTACAAATAAAATGTACCCCATAGAAACATTGCAACCCCTTTTCATTTGATTATGTCAAATAACATAAATACCGAGTTTCAAGCAAATTCAACCACAAATAAAATATGTCCCAAAAAAAATTACAACCCCTTTTTACGCCCATTCCCTTTAGAGGTTGAATTTTTTAAAATGCCGGGATAGGTGTTTCATTATAATTAAATGAGGGAGCATTAAGACCAAGTTTCAAGTAAATCTGACGAAAAATAATATATGCCCCATTCAAACATTGCAACTACTTTTCACTTCCCCCCCCCCTTAAGAGGTTGAATTTTTAACCAAGTTTCAAATAAATCTGTCCAAAAGCAAAAACGTTCTATGCAATCCCCTTTCAGCTTCCCGTCGAAATTGAATCAAGTTTCATGTAAATCTGACCAAAACAAAAATGTCAAAATTTATAATATGAAGGTTTTTCCATACAAAAATACTATCCGAATTTCCGGATTTTCCCGTGTATTTTCCAAAATTTTTCACTCATACAAACCTTGTCCTGACAAATACAAATAGAACAAAAAGTAAATCAGTCTAATCGAATGAGCTGTGCTCAAGTGATGCTCCGTCATACATTTGGAAATTCCCTAGAATTGACAGATAGGAACAGTTTGAATTTGATTTTTACGTTTTTCTGGACAATTTTTATTATACAAGCGGCTCATTGAAATGAAAATTTTACAGCAATTAAAATTTACATACATACTGCAGGATCAGGAACACTTAACATCACCGAAATGCCATGAGAGGATGTGAAAATAAACAGAGATAGCCTTAGCAGTAACCATTTTGTCATCATATTGGTGCTGGTACTCAGATTCTATATTTCTAGCGACTCTAGGTCCACTATTTTTCATATTGAGGCTCAACACCACTTAGTGGTGTACTACTTATGTACTAGGTCAGGCTATTATGATAAAAGGATTATCTGATTGACACATGTGATGTGGTATGTACCTACTATTGACAACAGCATCCATATTTGAACGAGTTCAACTAGTTTTTTATAATTCCGTGAAAGTTCAATAATACACACAAATCTCAATTTGATTTATAGCATTTATTACGCATAAAATTCGCTTCTACGAAGTACATTTATATAAAATACAATATACAATAAAATAATTACCTTGATAAGTCAAATAAACATGATAATAAATAACGATTATACATTTTAAGTAGTGTTCTTGGTTTATCTTACTCGGCAAAGGATTAAAAAAAAATAATTGCCAATGGCAATGAAAAAAAAAAATTAGTAATATAAAAATCAAAAGGTTTCGGGATAATACTGGATTACTATTCAGTGCTGGTTTAAAATTTTTCTTGCAATTATTTTTCAATAATAGTGTATTCCATATTATAAAAAACGAAGTAGTTTCTTATCTCAATATCATATACAAATATTCCTATATATTTTTATAATATGCAATATGATATATTCAACGCATCAATAAAAATAATCAAATGACTATTAAATTAAACAAAAATGCATACAATATTGATAAAACAGGCCATGCTAGTTGAACCAGCACAACGGTCACTGTATTACACTTTATAAACGCTTTAAATACTGAGAACTAGACTTAAAGGCAAGGAATGGAAGTGAAAATGGCAACTGTAAGAGAATAAATGATAAATACTTATTAGAGAAGTAAACAGCAAGCGTCAAAAAACTCAAACCACAGCAGTTCCACTCCACATTCGAGTGGAAAGTGGTCGGGGTAATCGTTTCCCTATTGTCTGCACATGAAAACCTATATTTATGAGCTCCTCATGGTCTAATATTTTTCTTCCATCAAAAATATAAGCCGGTTTCATCATGCTTCTGTATATCTCCCTATAATCCAATGTCTAAGAAAAACAATTTAATATTAGCAACTTTGCATCCTTCCGATTCTGATATATTTTAGTTTCAAAAAGTATTAAGCAATATTGTCAAGTTAAAAATAGATGAAATCACTATAAACATTTATTCATGTTTCAGAATAGTGGGGGCCCTTACCACAAATTCATCCCATTCTGTACAAATGACTACAGCGTGAGCACCATTAGTTGCAGAATAAGCATCTGGGTAAATTTTAACTAATTTTTTTACTTCTTCCGGGGATTCACAGATTGATGGATGAGTAAGGTCGTATAAGATTTGGGACTCCTCTACCTACAGACAAAAACAAACTCTAACTGAAAAATTTGTGCGTATACTTAAAGCAATTGGGAAATAGTTTTTGCATGGGTCGCAGGTACAAGTACCACACATGAAATTAAAGGACTTGGCATTCCACGTTCATTAAAAATAAGTGCGGGAAGACCAGTTGCACGACTCACACGTGTGTAACTATTACCAAAGTAAACACCATAAGAAATTTTTCGTGAATGTTTGCGCCAAAACGTTAACCAGTTCTTAGAATGAATATCGTGTGTATATGGTTGTAGACAGTATAAAATGAAAGTTGCTTTATGTCCGTAATGAAGAAAACTTAAAAACATGACTACAAGTAGAAGGTTGTTCTGAATCAAATTATTAAGCGAGACTTATTAAACGAACAGCTACCCTTTTCAGCATTAAAAAGCAAGTTTAACTGTAACCAACATATGTAAATATAATACCGGGACTAGTAATCAACTATAATCAATATAAGTATCTTAACTTTTTAACGTAAATGATTGCAACAACAATTGAGTATTTGGACAAAAACTGGCTTATTGTATTAATAAAAACGATTGATTCAAATGGTATTCCACTGAAATTAACACTTAAAATAAAAGTATAAGTGAGTAGTTTTAACGTATCCTCAGAATTTTCTTCGATAAATAACATGTTAACTATGTACTTCAAAAAGGAAATCATATCAAACCTAAAAATTATTATATGTATAAGTATTCTTTGAAATGGTCTGTCGACCGAAACAATTAAATACTAATCATTTCCTTGTTTTTTTTACTTAATTTATTAAAAAAAAACATCAATTTACTCGTAAATTTCAAAACGTATTAAAAAAAAAAGATGCGATATGAAATTATCTTGAAATTCCAAAGATTAATTTAATTGGATAAGAACTACAAAAGACTAAAAGATCAAAAGAAAATATTTGCCGAGATTTCATTTGTGTTATGAAATTACTACTCCACCACTGCGATAAAAATCTAAAAGCACTTGTCTTGAGTGAAAAATGCATGTATATGTATACACAACAAATTAATAATTTTCCTTACCTTTGGATCGTAAATGTTTAAGGAGGCTCCTTCGTCGAGCAATGTTTTAGCAACGTGAATGGCGGGACTTTCTCTAGTGTCCCCGGTGTTCTTTTTAAATGCAAAGCCAAGAAGGGTAATATTCTTTCCACTGACAGTGTTAAAAAGGCTCTGAACTACTTTAGCTGTAAACCTTGTCTTCTGATATTCATTCATGTCGATCACTTGTTGCCAATAGGCCGCCACTTCTGGTAAACTGAGGCTTTCGCATATATAAACGAGGTTCAGAATGTCCTTTTGGAAACAGCTCCCACCAAAACCCATAATATTATAAAAAGTTACGTTAACGATCGAAAAAAGGAAGACATTTCAAATAAATAAGGGGAAGAGTATTTATTTAAGAAAATTGGTACGTTTAAAAAAAATTGTGATTGTTTTGAAATTTGTATGTAATGATCATAACAATCACATTCTGTAGTAAACATCATGAATGTTTTTTGAAACTTTAAACTTTAAAAAGAAATCAACATAAAATTTTTAAAATTAATATAAAAATGCTTAAAGATGTAACAAACCAAGCCGCTTACGTTTTGAGTTATTTAATCTGTTATAACAGTTACCTATTGATGCTTGCAAAAATTTTGGTCCAATTCTAGAATCTAAACCTATAGCAACTGCTACTTCTGATACATCTGCCCCAGTAGCTTCACAGACAGCTGATAACGAATTAATACTCGATATTCGTTGAGCCAGCATAGCATTTGCAGCCTAAAATATAAACAACATAATTCTATTGATGATGTGTAAAATTATAGGTTTCAGTACCTCCATAAAAAGTTTGCTAAATAATGATATTGAAATTTTTGTTTTTTTTTTGTGTATTTTTCGAACATTCAAATTGAAAAATATTGTATTTGTTTTATTTCTGGGAAAAGGAAAGGTGCACTTCAAAAATCCGCCTTTAATAAAATAAAAAGGACACGCATTGTTTGGTGTCGGTAAAACCAATTATTAAAAAAAATTCTACATCAAATCCTAATTAACTTTATGTTTATTATGTTTTACTGTTCGCCAGATTCATACCACACCTGTTCGTACTTTTAAAATACATAGGTACATACACGTGTAATATACAGTTTCAATCGGATTTTAAAACGAAGCTGTTTTCAGGTTCACTACGTAATAAAATAAAAGAGATAAGAGTGGAACACAATAATAGGTATTAGAAGATTAAACTTGTTTATTTTGATGCAAATGTGATTCCGTTTTTTTTTTGTATTATGTTGTTAATTCTACATTTTGATTTTATACTTGAATTATTGTATATTATTTAAAGTACTGATTCAAGTAAAAATAATCGATACTGCATTATTTAAGAGCGCAACCATGGGCATTACAATTTTTTCATATTTTAATTCTGCTCATAACTAACATAATAATAACAAAATAAGAAATAGTGTCTATTTTCTTAAAATATAAAATTATTTTAAAAATTGTTATTTGCAGTTTTATAAGCGAATTATCTAAGGAACGCACAACCCCTCCTTTGTCCTTTACTTTAAGTTAATAAAATAACTATAAATACCTATATAATAAGCACTCACCAATTTAGAAAGTTCTGAAGACCAGGTGTNCTTAGCTAAAACTAAGATAAAGCAACTTAGGGAAAATGTATAGTACCTATTTACAAAGATACTTGAAACAGGAAGTTATGGTTGATTAAATGATGTATAATAATAAATCATAAAACTATGTTTATACATTTTTTGTGTTTCTGTTCAGACTTTTAGGTCAGTTTTATAAGCGAATTATCTAAGGAACGCACAACCCCTCCTTTGTCCTTTACTTTAAGTTAATAAAATAACTATAAATACCTATATAATAAGCACTCACCAATTTAGAAAGTTCTGAAGACCAGGTGTTGGTGGTCAAAATACTTTTTCTAGGAATCCAGTGTTCGTAAATACTGCAAAGCTCTTCTATAGCAAGTTGGCCTTCGGGAGTCTCTTCCCCACCTATGAGGACCCTATCTGGGTGCATGAGATCTTGAATAGCAGTTCCTATAACGAGTATGTATATCATGGGTATTATAATAATCAGTCTCTTAAAAAAATATGAAAGTTCCAATTAGGGGACACTCCCAAAATCAGCACATTTTATCATTTTTGGCTTTTTATCTGTAGAGGAACGCCTTTACATAAGTAGCTTTAAACAGTAAAATTTCTGAACCACTACAAAAATCTTTTAAAGGTTTTTCATATCCCACCAAGGAAAACAAATTGCCAAAGTTTCATTCCGATCAGAGATAACCCCTAATCAGATCCTTCCGTTTTTCCGTTTTTTTTTTTTTTAACTAGGAGCAAAAATTATTTGAAAACAATACAAACCTTCAGCCAAGAACTCTGGATTGGAGAGGATTTGATACGAAACACCAGGTTCATTATTTGCCTTTAAAATATTCATTATACTTTCTGCGGCTCTTACAGGTACTGTACTTTTTTCTACAACTATTTTGTTACTTTTGGCAATATCTGCTATCATTCTGGCAGCTCCTTCGACATACTTTAAGTCTGCTGCACGTCCCTAAACAATTACAACATGTGTTACCTATAGATGATACTTTTTTAAATTTTTACAATATCTACGCCGCTTCATTTATTTAAAATTAAAAAAGATGCGCACACATGTTTAACTCTATTGTCTATTGTTCCCCTGTTTTTATACTTGATACCAAATGCACATGTTAATTTTTAGAAAGAGCTTGTGTAGATAATTTTTTGACCATCCAATATTTCACTAAAACATTTAATAATACATATTTGCATCTACTACGCAAATTCATTAATTATCAATAGAAAAAGTAACCGAAACTTATCAGTTGGGATTAAACTAGGTGCCTACGTATATACTTTACAATAAAAAGATTAATGTTTTTCAATTTAAAATCAATAAATAAACTAGTGATAAGCCATTGCAATGCCAAAGGTATATATAACAACAATTTCACCTAGAAGAAATAAAACCAAATAGTAAATATAAATTTTACATAAAATAATTCGTAGTGGTCTGTATTCTATAAATTTTACATTCAGAAATAAGATCACAAATGTGTTATCACTTTGTAAACTTTAACGAAATGTAGGAGAACATTGAAATGATTGGGGGGTAGGAAGTAACTCTATAACACCAAGAGAAATAATGAGCAGTGATATTTTTAATAATACTTTTTCAAATATATAGTTTGATATTATGAAACAAACATTCTTAAATTCCTCATAACAAGCTCTTCAATAAAAACCATCACGATATAGGTACATATATCAAATTGAGAAAAAAATCGCATACTTAAATTGCCCCCCTCTTTAACTCTAATAGGAATATCTTAATGATCAAAATATGCGGCTCCACGGTTTCTCAGAAAATATGCTTATAGACGGATTATCTTATCATCACCTGCTTACAAACCAATCTAACCATACGTAAATTGAAAATGTGTACAACAAAGTACATAAAAAAACACGAATATTATCAAAAGATTTTTAAAGTACTCTCACAAGTTTCAAATTGTACAATCACGTATACTTTTTCAAATAATTTATTACAAATCAAATAACGGAATGATTTGAACGATTTGTTAGTATAATAATTACGGTGGTGTTCACATATGTATCTACATGCACACAATTAGTTCATCTTCAAGGAAACCCGTGTAAAAACTACAAATAGAGACGTCAGTGAAATCACGTACCTTGCCATTTCCAAATGTTTTCGTTGGCGTATTTACTGAAATAAAAATCAAATCTGCTTCTAAAATGGCCTTCTCAATGTTATTGGAGAAAAATAAATTCTTTCCTCGTCTGGCTTTAACAATTTCGTCGAGGCCAGGCTGAAATTTATGCAACAAGACATTGAAGAAAGTTTACAAATGTACCTAACAAAAAATTACCTCATAGATGGGCAACTTCTCAGAATTCCATTGGGCTATTCTTGTTACGCTTTTATCGACAACAGTTACCTTTATTTCGGGACATTTTGAGGCTATCACGCTACATGTAGGACCCCCTACATACCCTGCTCCCAAACAACAAATATTTTTTACTACCATGATTTCTGAAAAAACAAGAGCATAGAAACAAAATTAAAATTAATTTCTCTTAAACAATTACCATTTTTGTGGCCTATTTAAAGATAAGCATAAATAAAAACGATATCATTAATGCAGTAGGTATTATTTCAATTACTCAATTAGTCATCAACATTGTATTGTAAAAGCGTGTTAAATTACATGTAGCAATAGTAATTAAATGTACATCCTTAAATAAATTAATAAAAAAACAAACAAAAGTACCCATTTCCGTTGGCTTAGCTAAAACTAAGATAAAGCAACTTAGGGAAAATGTATAGTACCTATTTACAAAGATACTTGAAACAGGAAGTTATGGTTGATTAAATGATGTATAATAATAAATCATAAAACTATGTTTATACATTTTTTGTGTTTCTGTTCAGACTTTTAGGTCATCGTTTTCCAAGATTATGGTTACTTCAAGTGCTTCCCTGATTAAAAATTCACCTCAATCATCTATAAAAGAGCCACAATCTTTCAAGATGACACACGAATAGAACCACTTCATTGCTATGTCTTATTGATATCTTTCCTTCACATAGCTTTCGAGGTTTAAAAGAAAAGTAAGTAAAAACCAAACCCAACCCAGGTGAGTGCATTTTTCTTTTGTTTATAGCAACATGGACCACAAAAAATTATTATTTTTGGTTGGTTTGATTAGCTATGGGTTGGGTTTGGTTGTTTTAATTACACAAAGCTATACAGCATACTAAACAATTACCTCGTTATAATAAAAATGTTTGGTAATTTTTTACATNTTAGTCAGGTAGGTAGTACTCACCAAGTAAAGTAGTGTAGTAGTATTTACTAGAATTTTGTTTATTATTTGTTTAAAAATGAATGTGAGTGAGATACAGGCCCTTAAAGTTTTCTTAATCGGAGGAAATTCCGGTAGGTACGGCCCTGGCTTCAGCCTTCCGTCAGCTGTTCCCGCCAAACATCGTTTGTCCTAAAACATATCTTCCTAACATTATTCTAATGTATCAGCCCGCCTTCGGCGGGCAGGGGCATTAAACAAACTCGAGTCTGTCATACATCTACCTAACTAAACAATGACGTCATCAATGCATATTTGGCGAGAACAGCTGACGAAGGGCTGCAGCCAGGGCCGTACCAATCGAAATTTCCTCCGATTACATAACTTTAGAAGCCTGTATCTCGAGCTACATTGGTTTCCGCACGGAATTAATGCTACCACACGATTCTACTTGGTCAGTACTACCTACCTGACTAAACTTCATGTCTCAATTCCAATGTCAACTAATGTAAAAAATTACCAAATGTTTTAATGCCAACATATAATTTGCAGGGGCATCAATTAATATAAATGAACTTATAAACATAATCATCATTATAGATGCGTTACTGACAAAAGTTACTTATCGATTACGTATTACCAGGTGAGGCAATATTTAAACAAGGACAAAGATTTATATAATACAGTGAAAATAATCCGAAATAACTATAAATAGCTAATAGAAAAATCATGAACCAAACGAATAACGAATGCACATCAACTTCCATAAAGTTTGTATCATTTATTTACAATGCTGCATGAACAGGTGTCATTTTTAAAATCTTAACTCGTTTTCGTACTTTTTTCTAAATAAAATACTCTAACAATGATAAAAATGTTCACTGAAAATTCTTAAAAAAAAAAAAGAAACTCAAAAACACATGAAATTAATTACGCCTTCATAAGTTAGTTGTTTACACAAGCTAATAAGCAGCTTCTCAAGGTCTTCAAATGTAAACTTTTTATCCCTTTTTGTCTGTTCATCTGGCAAGTGAACGTAGTTTTAAGAACGTACATATGTACCTATGTTAGGTTTCAAAAATTTTGTGGGTAAATATATTGAAAATCAAAATGTGTAACAGAGTAATGCCGAGAAGTTAAATTTATAGTAATACCGCAATTAAAATTCTCTTAGAAGAATAAAAAAATTATGCTATGGCATGCCGGCATTTATGCCAAAATAAGTATTCAAAAATGTGTGTACCCAGTAAAATATAATTATCAGCAGTTCTGCAACAAACTTAAAATCAAAAACTTACCTTTAAAGCAGCTGCAGACTTGTCAGTAATAAAAATAAACAGTTGAAAGTAAGTGAAGATAAAACTGGAAAAAACTCTCGAAAACTGCTAACTAAAAGGAATTTTACACAATTTTTGTATTCGAAGTGAATGAACTTTTGAACCCCCTCCTGATTCACTGAAGTTCTGACTGTTACTAACACTGCTGAATCTTCACGTTCATCTTTAAACCTCGAGTTGTATAAATCCTACTTGCAGGTGATGCCACACAGCCATCCATTAGGCAAAAAATGTGTATTATAAGTTCATTACCATGTTCACTATACATGTTCATTACCAACCAACTCCATCTGATTGATAGCAAAATCCACAAAACTCGCATGCGTGTTAACACAAAGGCGGATTTATATGTAATGAAAAAATTAACCTTAGCCTGCAATTTTTTTAAGATAAATAGAATTTGACCATAAAATAATAAATTATATTATGACGATCTTCAGAAAAAGTTGGTGACTCTTACAAAAGTCTTATAAAAGTAGATAATATCTTGTACCCAAAATTTCTTTCTGAATTGCATATAAATCAGGGTTGCGTTAGCAAAATCTAAAATCAACAAGTGCTGTTGCCAAATGTATCCTCTAATTTTCACAAGTATTCAGAGTTAAGCTAAAATGTTTTATGTTCTTATTTAATGATTACTGAATGAACATCAAATAATTTTCTAATCATCAAGTTGATACTTCAATCCTTTTCAGTTTTATAAAAATATTTATTTTTTTTCGAATTTTCGCCTTGAAATTCTAAATTTCAACTGGAAATTTCAAGTTGTGTATTAACTTACTCATCAGTTTAACAATATAGGCTTTCGCGGCCAGGAACTATAGTGGAATTATGATTCGAGCTGAAGGATAATAAGTAAACAATTTGCATTCAAATCAATTTTTTTCTCAACTTTTACTTTTTAAACAAAAAATTTCCTATACATAACTCTTCCACTTTTAGATCAGTTTGACATGGTCATTTTCTACTTTAAATACCATATTTTTTGCATGTTATCTCTGGCAACACTGAGAAATGGTTTGATAATTCTGCAAAGAATTTGGCAGTACGGATTTTTATGCGTAAAAAATTGCAGGCGGATTTTTATGCAGAAGAAATTATTCATTCATAAAAGATCAAACCAAGAAATCGAAATTTGATAATACAATTATTGTTAATTAACTTCATACTTTATATTTTTCGCGTGTAATTAAAGAAATATTGTAGTTTTCCCATTTTATTTATACAAATTCCTAAACGCATACAAACGGTCGGTTATGTCATGATCTTCATCATAAGCCATAAAACATGTTATTAATTTTATCTGTACACAATAAGGAATGGGACTGAAGCAAATGCTTCTAATAATATAATTTTATTTTGTGTGAGCACTTTTTAACTTTTTATACCAGCTTAAAAATATAGTTGATATAAATATATTATTACGAGTTTTGTATTTTTTCTTCAAACGGTCAAGAGGTAAACATCATTATTAAAAGTAAAAAATATATTTAAAAAGCATTTGCTTTCAACAAAAAGAAACTACAGCTACATTCTGTTACAGAACAACTATTGCATTTTTTTGTGTACATTTTTTCTCCTGAGGAATTTTCAAAACTAGTATAGAGATTAAGATATATTCCCTTAAACAACAATAATGTAAGTCCAT